GAGCTCAAAAATTCTGACTTATGCTCCAAAAATTCAGACTTAAACGAATATAGCATGCAAGGAATATGAGAATGACTAACGGTTTGGAGTTTAGGTTTGACTTATGGCGGAAATTTCCGAGTATAGATCGACAATGTCTCGGAGACTTTGACTTGAGCCCAAAAATTCTGACTTATACTCCAAAAATGAAGACAAACAAGATAGGTTACTATGAATTACGTTACGCGTTAAACTATGATGCTGAAATGAAATAAAGATTTTTGCGTGTATGTATGACTTTGGGCCAGTGGAGGTCTACTATTATATATTCTGACTTGCACCCAAAAATTCAGACTCAGACTCCAAACATTCTGTCAGTCTTAGACAAGAATGCCATGAATGGTATGAATTACAGGCTTTATGTATGATGCTGAAATGAAGTAAATGTTTTTGAGGTTAGGTATGACTGAAAAGGAGGATTTCTAGTGTAGATCTATTATTATAATTAGGATATTCTGACTTGAACTCAAATATTCCTTAACATTCAGCTTTAAAAAAAGAATACTATGCTAAGAATATGAAAATGGGTAAAGATTGTAATTTTAGGCCCGAATTAGGGTGGAAAGTCTACTGTGTTTAGGATTCTGACTTGAACCTAAGCACTCCTAAGCAAAAATATACGGTAAAAATGTAAAGAAGATATGAATTAGAAATGTTCGGCTTTGGGCTTGGAATTTCAAACGTAGATAGACTATGTCATCAATATTCTGATTTAAAACTTCTGACTTATGGTCAGTTTTTAACAAAAATATTCTGAATTACATTCTAAGAATGTGAAAATGAAATTAGGTAATGTGTTCGGGTTTAGGTCCGATTTTGATCGAAAAATTCTGACTTAAGCTCAGAAATTCGCCATCAGTTACTGCAGTATAGGCAACACACCCTGCACCACTACAATTTTGTTACTATTTTTGTAACCATTTTCGATAACCAACCAAATAAAGTGTTTGTAATTTAAACCAGGCGTAAATTTTGAGAACGAGAACGAAGAATTATTTGGACTCGCAATTTATGCTTCCCTGGCACAAATTTCTGCTCTTTAGGCTTGATGCATCAGGATCACAGAAACGCGACAAGTGTAACATTGAGTATCAGATACCTTAGTATCTGCTATTATCCAGACACCGTCTTTTTTGGCGTATCAGGCACACAGAAATCTGAGGTGTACAATTTAGTCGCACATTTTCTTTTGATATCACTCTACTCTAAAAATTAAATCAAGATCGCAAACATTGCTTGTCATACGTAATCTTGCACAAAAATTCATGTATCAGGAACACGAAGATGCGTGGTGCAATATTATCTGACACACTTTTACTATTATGGCCTCCTGACACATTTTTTTCTCTTTTAAAAACCAAAATCACAGGGTTGCAAGAAATGGTTCCCAGATTCATTTCATGCTACCCTGATATAAAATTCTTTAGACGATTGATACTGATTTCATTCTGGAGCATTACCTTACCAAGATACACCTTTTATTAATTAAAATATTCATCAGGGGCGCAGAAGGTTTAACATTGACTACTAGATATAAGTTAAAAAAGAAAGATGTATTCGGACGACAGAAATGTGAGATGTATAATCTAGTCACACATTCTCACCTGTTATGTTCTTTTGGTATAATTGTTTTTTCAAAAGTTGTAACAGGACCGCAAAAATGCTTGGTGAAACATTAGGCGTCAGAAACCATCCCAAAAGTAATATAAATTTTTATGTATCAGGATCACAAAGAAACGTTCTCGCGTTTTTTAAAAATCAAACCAAATTCGCAGTCCATCAGACTGGTGCAAGGTATAGCAGTTGCTTACTTCTTACAAATTTTGTTCTTCTGATATAAACGCCAGAGTTTATGATAATGATCCATCTGTTATGCTATCCTGATAATGTTACCCTGCTACAGATTCATTTAACAAAAATTGACGTATCAACAGTACAAAGATTATAAAAATATCATTTTCTTATAGATTGTGGCCTGTAGAATCCATAATTTCAAACAGTTCCAAGATTGGGCTACTATTTCAAAAGTTACAGCCCTTTGAATTTTTTTTCGAAATTGGTTTCTAGTCTATAATCTTTGATTGAGAGGTCTGATCGAAAAAGTACGAATTGTTTTGGATTCTACGCACCAAAATTAATAAGAAAAAGTGTTTTCCCGAGAAAATTTAGTGCAGTCAATTTTTGGTAAAAAAGGAAGGTTATACACTGCCTTTTTTGAGCCCTGAAAAAAAAATTGTCTCAGATCGATCCAGAAAAAAAATTTTCTTATAGAATGTGGCCTGTAGAATCCATAATTTCAAACAGTTCCAAGATTGGGCTACTAGTTTAAAAGTTACAGCCCTTTGAATTTTTTTTCGAAATTGGTTTCTAGTCTATAACTTTTGATTGAGAAGTCTGATCGAAAAAATACGAATTGTTTTGGATTCTACGCACCAAAATTAATAAGAAAAAGTGTTTTCCCGAGAAATTTTGGTGCAGTCAATTTTTGGTAAAAAAGGAAGGTTATACACTGCCTTTTTTTGAGCCCCGAAAAAAAAATTGTCTCAGATCGACCCGGAAAAAAAAATTTTCTTATAGAATGTGGCCTGTAGAATCCATAATTTCAAACAGTTCCAAGATTGGGCTACTAGTTCAAAAGTTACAGCCCTTTGAAATTTTTTTCGAAATTGGTTTCTAGTCTATAACTTTTGATTGAGAAGTCTAATCGAAAAAGTACGAATTGTTTTGGATTCTACGCACCAAAATTAATAAGGAAAAGTGTTTTCCCGAGAAATTTTGGTGTAGTCGATTTTTGGTAAAAAAGGAAGGTTATACACTGCCTTTTTTTGAGCCCCGAAAAAAAAAATTGTCTCAGATCCACCCGGAAAAAAAATTTCCTATAGAATGTGGCCTTTAGAATCCATAATTTCAAACAGTTCCAAGATTGGGCTACTAGTTCAAAAGTTACAGCCCTTCGAATTTTTTTTCGAAATTGGTTTCTAGTCTTTAACTTTTGATTGAGAGGTCTAATCGAAAAAGTACGACATGGTAAAATATTAACTGACACAATCTCGGGTATTATGATACTCTAATGCAATTTTCTCCTTTATCAAAATCACATAGACGCAGAGAGTGGCTGTCACAAGGACGTTAACTAACTTAACGTCCTTGGGCTGTTACATTCATCCTTGTTTCTTATGCCGCCCTAATTATAAACTCTATGTTCTCCTAATACAATTTTTTGTTTATAAGTTTTATCGAGAAATGTCTGAATTTAACTTAAGGTACCACTTAATCTTTACCAAAAGTTAATCTATCAGGAACACAGAAATGAGCGGTATAAAATTTATAATCTCATTCTCCAACGTTGTGCTGTTCAGATACAATTTTTATTTAATAAACAATTCATTAGGATTTTAGAAGCGAGGGGATGTGTAACATTAACCATTTAAGTTAAATTTAAAAATATGTAGGTATGTATTATGGCCCCCCGATACATACTTTTAAAGACCATGTCCGTATGGTGTGTAACAGGTGGTTGTGAGATACCTAATTCTGTACAAAATGTATATATCAGGAATGCATAAGTGCAAGGTATAGCATTTTCTAATACATCCCTATTTACGCTCTACTGATTTATCTTCAAAAATTTTGGCTGGGTCACAAAAGAGTGATACTGATCTCTTCGTCTGTCATGTCATCCTGATACAAGTTCCATTACCAAAGTTGATAGATCGGGAACACAGAATGGTACAATGACACAATTTTTCTTTTAAAAAAACACAGGAACGTGACACTCATTAGCTCTTAGACACCTCCTCGTAAGTCATAGTACCCTGTTACAAACGCTGTGTAGCTATAAATTCCACCTCCAAAAATATGGACATTTTGAATTGCGCTTTTAAAATGTAAGGACGAGGTGGAGTAGGAGTTTTCGAGTTTTAATCCGAAATTCCAAATATAAATCGAGTATGTCAAGCAAAGTGGCCAGAGAAATGTTCAAAGGAGGAAGAATATTTGAACTAAACGTAAAGTTGGCTCGTAAGGAGCTGAAACAAGTCTCGCAGGGGCATGAAGAAGGCTTTAAGAAACTGTGAAGAAATTCCAAAGGAGGCGTAAAGAAAGAGGACTCCAATTATGCGTAAAGAAATCTCAAAGCAGGTGTGAAGAAAGCCTCTAGATGGCGTGAAGAAGGACCGTGGTAAGCATATAGAACCCCCAAATGAAGCGGAAAGAAATCTCAAAGGAAGCGTTCAGGTTCGGGAAGATCTGCTAGAAACTTGAAATAGGCCCGATGGAAACCTAAAATGGCCATAAGACGCGTAAAAAGGTCGTGAAGAAATCGAGGAAAAAGACTTGAAGAAAAATCGAAGGAAGCGTGAAGAATGCCAGAAATTTGCGTGGAATTGGTTATGGAGAAGAACGAAGAAACTCCAGGGTGAGTTAAGGAACCGTGAAGAAATCTAGAAATAGGCATTCGGAATGATGGAAGAATGATTAAAGAAGGCGAGATTCGAAAGAGGGGTGGAAAAGACTTAAAATATGCGTGAAGACGTTCGTTGTTAGCGGTTGCTGCGCATCTCTTCTATTAGAGGTGGTACCGGTTGTGAAGCAGGAATTTCTTCTTTTCATATCCTAAGCACGTACAATGATCGATTTAAGTTAATGCCGGGTTGACATTGCATCTACTGATAATAAAGTATCGTTTTTATGTCACTTCGGCAGATCCAAGTAGCGTTCAACGCATGCAGAGCCAATTTAAACGGCAACGCTCGTTACATCGTAAATCCTGACACGAATGTGACGAAATGTCGTAAACGAACGAATCCATGCATACATTTTTGACGTAATTGTATTTTTGCCCCTTATTTTACGATTTGCAATATTCGCTTCATCCCCATCGCTTACAAAAGTTCGCCGGAAATAAGCGAAATCGTGCATTTTATTGTGAACTTATGACTGACTCCTCCTTTTGTTTTCAGCCGAAGTATGCGGGTAAAGCGAGCGAAGGATGCATCCCGACGGGCACGAAACAACTGACTCATAGCGCGCCCATAATGATTTGCGATACGAACTCGCCCACGTCAGCTACATATCCAGGTTTGCCGCCCCATTCGCCTTACCACCGTCGCATTTCGCCGCCCGGAAGTCCCGCGCCCAGGAAGTGCTGTTACGAACACAAGGAGAACTACACGCAGGAGGTCTTCTTCTGCTGCTGTTACAGCTGCCCGGGCACGCGGTCGACGTCCGTGATAGCGACGGTGGGCGTCTGCTGCCTGGTGCTCGGCTACACGATTCTGGGCGCGTTCACCTTCATGGCGCTCGAAGGCCGACCCGACCACGACACGTCCGTCGCGGCGTCCCAGCACGACCCGAAGCACGACAAGAGCACCGCCGGCGTGCTCAGGGCGCAGACCGTCGACAAGCTGTGGAGCATCACCGAGAACTTGAACATCCTCTACCGCGAAAACTGGACGCGGTTGGCCGCCGAGGAGGTGCTCGAGTTTCAAGAGGCGCTGATACGCGCCATGCGAGGTTCCGGAAGCGGATACGTCGGAAACCCCAGCTCCACGGTGCTCTACTACCAGCGACCGCATCGGTGGAGCTTCAGCTCGTCATTTTTGTACTCATTGACTCTGATCACAACGATCGGTAAGTAAATTTCAATTCATATGGAAGGCGTTTAATTAGGTAGCACTTTGGAGGGATTAAGCCGGGGATGTTTGCTCGTGAATAAATTTGAAATTAATCCCCACGCCGACATAATAAACTCGGAGTTGAAGCGAGTTTAATGTTTCCATTCGTCTGAATGAAATCCCAGTTTAAATTTCAATCGTGCCAATTTAACTAAATACATATCTAGATGCAACCAACTAGTACGGCGAGCGTATGCCGGACAGTAAAAAATGAGGAATGATCTCGTTTCACGATCAAGATTGCGGAACTATGCACGCGAATTTATGCCTAAACTCCCTCATAATAAATTTGAGGAACACATGCATCGCGCGTGTAAACATTTTCGACATTTATATCCGTTTTAAGATGCCAACTACGTTATTTTCGTATTTTACGGTTGCTTGAGTAAACATAAAAGTTTCTAACCCCCGACAATTTTTTACGTTTCCGTTTACCGAGTGATCACCGCCGTTTGATACATCCAACTGATTCTCACATAACGTTAACCCCCTTCTAAACTGCGAAGTTTTACCCTCGTACACCGAGGTGAAGTGAATAGTAACAGTTTTGTGGATAATAAAAGTTTTCTAATGCAGTCGCGATGGAATTTTCTACAGATCGCAAAGGTACAATGTTTGCATGTGCTCTGATAAGTAAAATATCGATTTCTAAAGGTAGTTTCCCAAAGCTCCCTTAAGTTCTCACAATATCTCTCGTAGAACTTAAACAAGTTTTACCTCTCGACCGTCCCAAGCTCAGGATGTTTTTGTCCAATTTTTCAGACGATCAAAGTCACGCAACGTTTCCTAAAATCCCACAAATTGAGTCCAGTCTCTCAAGTAATACTTGTCCCTTAAGTTTTCTGTCTCCTCAAAGCGTATCGGAAGGGGCTTCAGAAAGTTGTGAGATTTCAGAAATTTCGATTTAGGTTTCGTAAATGAAAAAACCGAAATTGAATTCTTCAAATTAAGTTATTCTTGGGCCTTCACTACGAAAGATAGGAATTGCATTAATTGTAGCTTCCCCCTCTATATGTAGGTGTTAGGTGATCATGATATCTATCCTTTAATTTCTCAAGTTCTGTCTGTCTCAAAACCTGATCAATTGGCATTAGTCTCAAGGATCTCAGCTCACTCATGGTGAGTAACATTAGCTTTCCCTGCGTCTCTAGAGCGTTTGAGTGAAATATTTGAAATCTGATTTTGTTCCTGGTTCCTCGAGTCTTTAAGATTTTGAACCTATAAGCCCATTTTGTCCTACGATTGGGGTATCTTGATTGCCTGAGACCTTGAAAGTTTTTGGGCCTTCGACTTTCAACCTTTGAGCCTGCGAGCGTACATCCTTCAAACTTAAACTTTGAACTTCACAATTTTCAGAGTATTGGGTCATTGTATGTTTGGATCTTTTCCGATTCTACTTGTAAGCGTTTGCGTCTGTGAACCTTTGAGTCTAAGAATTTAGGTTGCTGGCCCTTTGAGACTCATTGATACTTTGAGTTTATGAGTTGACGCTGACTTTTTCATTTTTGAGTTTTTAAGCACTTAACACCCTGTATCGTTTAGCTCGAGAGCCTTACGACTCTTCTGTAACTTTCCCTTACATTTTCCCTTTCTTTCATTTGGCCTCTTTGCCGCCTGCTTTGTTTTTTGTTTTACACCTTCCTTCAGATTTTTCATCTTTGTCTATTCCTGTCACCTACTCGAGAAAGTCGTTTTCTGGAAGAGGAACCAGAATCAGGAGAGCATAACACGTGACGAATGTTTCCCAAAACAAATTTTTGTAGGTATTTGCCAACACAGCCTTCTCTAAAAGATGACATTGGTTATCAGGAGTACATCATAAGTTTCTTCCAAAATTTTACATGTTGTCGCGTCTCTATAACCCTTGTTGTGACTTCTCAACGTTTTGCAGCCCTGGGAAAACATAGGTGGCTACCAGATCCTCACTTTCTCGCACCCCTGTGATTACTAGAACCATGTATACAACTAAGTGCGTCTACACCCCATCCCAATCAATGTTGCATCTTCTCAACTGTCTGTGATCCTAACCTAACAATTTCTAACATTGGAATGTGAATCAGGAGAACACAAAACGTAAGGAGGGTTCTTCAAAGAAACTTCACTTCAACTTGTTGATAAATCCTTTGCTTAAAAAGACAAATGTGTATCAGTTGAGTCTTCCAATAAATTCACACTTTTCCGACTTTCTGTGAGCCTAATATTAATCAATTTCTGAGAAAGAAATTTTAAGAGAACGAATATATGGCAATGTTTTTACTCCAACATGTTTTTTCTTAAGAAAAAAGGTATGTATTAGGAGAACATCATAAGTCTTCCAATTTACATCACATTCTCGCATTTCTGTGACCCTAACGTTACCGTCAATAAAAGCTAACGTCAATTCAGATTAACATAATACTTTGAATGTTGCACTGTGATCCTAATACAACCACCTCTGAGAGACAAATATGAACTGTATCAGGAGAACATGATAGGGGTCCTCAAACAAATTCTTCACCTTCGCTCGTTTCTGTAACTTTCACTTCTGTGATGCTAATACCACAAATTCCGTGTCAGAAATTTGAATCCAATGCAATGCGTTAGAAAAGATACTGATTCGCATTTGTTAAAGGGGGCCGAACCTGGACCGTTCAATGCCTCTTGCCACCTGGTGGTGACTTTGGGAACTAGACTAAGGTGAAGTTTAAAGTTTGCGTGCTAAGTGGCGGTGGCCAATGACTATTTTTGTGGTATCATATTTTATTTCGAGATTATGACCTCTTTTTTGTCGTATTATTTTATTTTCAAGGTCAATGGTGTCATTTTTTGGTCTGATGGTCCACTTTGAAGGTTATCGAACTTTAATGGCCTCAAATATTGTAGTGTCCCACTCCATTTTTAAGCTCATCAGAAGACAAGGTCATCTTTTTATGTTGTCATATTTTATTTTCGAAGTTATCAAAGTTCAATGATCTCGTCCTTTGTCATATTCCATTTTCAAGTTCATCAAGGGTCAAGTGCTCCATTTCTTGTGGGTTCAAACTTTGCTTTAAAGGTCACCGAAGTCATTTCCCTGTGTCGAATTTCATTTACAAGGTCATTCAAAGTCAATTACCACATTTGTTACGTTTTACATTTTATTTTTAAGCTCATCAGAGGTCAATGGCCCTATTTCTTACGGCGTCAGATTTTATTTTAACGTCGTCCAAGGTCAATGGCCACATTTAATCGTTAAAGGTGAGTTTAAGGACACATTATAAGGATATAGAGCATCTATGTACATGTATAACTGTCAATTGGTGCCTTGCTTCTACTAACGGTGAGATTTTTTTTCTCGCTTTACCCTAATTGGGACAACTTCTCCATTTTTATTTCGTTATGCTCCTCACTATCCGTTGTGAATCAAGAAATAAGAGAGCAAGTTTCCCACAAAAGGTTTGATGCCACTTATACGTGTATCAGGGGAGCAACGTGGTAAGCGTCTTAAAAAAATTAGTGTAAGAGCCAATTATGTACTAAATGGGCGTAACACTTGCGAAAGTACTCTGCAATCAATGTCGTTTCTCAATGTTCTATGATCTTGATATAACAGTTTTTGAGAGAGGAACGTGAATCAGAAGAGTACCTTCTCAACATTCTGTGATACTAACTTTCTAGGAGAGTAATGTGAACTGTGAGAACTTTTTCGACTTTCTGTGATCCTAATACTATTGATCAATTTTTGTGAAAGAAATTGTAACTAAGAGAACGAATACGCGAGACACGTTTTACAAAAAGGGTGTTTATGTGAACTTGGGTGGTTTGAGATGTTTGAAAGACTTCGAGAAACTTTGTATGACATAGTTGGCAATTAAAAACAATTGGGTGCTAGGTTTTTATAGAATTTTTGAGACATTTACAGGATTCAGAATGTTGGCAAGTTTCAGAGACTCGAAGTTCCAAATTAGAACTGAAATTTCAAACCTGTTTCCTGAACGAAGCATCCTAAATTCAAACTTTTCAAATTGAGTTATTTTTGAGATGACGACAAACAGTAGTACAAGAAACGAAATTGCACTCTTCATGGTTACATCCTCTATAAGTTGCTATTTGGTGATCATGATCTCGCTACTGTCTTAGGAACAGATAAGTCCTGCGAGTCATTCGGGTAAATTCGATTTATTTTTGAGATTTACAGCTTGAAGTTGAAAGGACATTCTTGGTACCCTACAGGTCTGCGATTTAGCTTGTTTTTAAGCGAAGCGATGTGAGTTATGGAGTAATTTAGATTTTTTTCAGTTCAAATATTCAGATTACATACGATACTCCTAAAAAAATTTAGAAAGGATTCAGCTAATATAAGCGGCATATTTTAGCATATTTACTTGCTTTATAAATATGCAAATTTTCTTTTTGAATCTTTCAGCTAATCCTGTCATACTTATCCGCAGTAAATGCGTTCTCTGCGATTTGTTTCGAACTTAATTGCCGATAAACGGCATTAGCATATTCAATCAAGCGGAATGAAAGCGTCTATGTACAAATATACAAATGAGATTGAATTTTTTCTTGAGCAAAGCGTATTTCTTCCAAACCCCGCCACTCACTTGCTAATGTAAACTCATGTTATTAATTCTAAGGGACTGAACGTGAGCATAAAAGTTTATGTCAATAAAGTCAAATCGATTTTAGCGAGCACTCGGCTTGGAAACTTTCTGACGACGGCCCGCATTAAAAATTCATTTATAAAATATGCCAACGATACAGGCCTCAAATTTTGCATTAAAAACTTTACACAATCCCCCTCTTATCTCTTTAAGATGATCTAAATTGCGAAAACTCGCTCGCAATTATTATAGTTGCGGGTTGCTTGGGAAAACTTCGACCTCAAGATAACGCGCCAAGTTCTGATTTAATTAATAATTTCGTAACTATTCAGTCCTCGAACTACCGAAGTTCTAGGTGGCGAGCCAATTCAAAGCGTGGCGAAAAAAGCGAAAGGGCCG